TAATTCTGTCCCAGCTGAAACCAGGACAAATGATTAGCTTTTAATTTCTGTGCTGTATTTTTTTTGCACAGGAGATCAGCTCTTCACTGTCTAGTGGCAGGAGTTGTCTTGAGACAGAGGTGTGGGTGTTGCGTTCACACACAGACCCTAATGTCTGATTATCATAATTTGCCAGTGATTTTTAAATGTTAAGGGCCAGAACTGCCCTTCCTGGCTAAGTGCAGTTTTAGAGCTGCAGTCCATGTCTGCTCCCCATAAGGTATCCCAGTTATTGGCCAATTTATTGTCTTTACTCCAAGAAGAAGTTAGTTGCTTGGAATATGCGTGAGAGCTATTAGTGGCCATACACAGAGGAATATTTAGATAGGGTTCCCAATTAAAAAAGACCAGACATGAAGCTATAATAACTTACAGGGGTGAGCTGCATGTGGAATATATTAGTAATGTATGTTATGCAAGCAGGCTTTCTGGTTTGAGCTCTGTTAAACTTAATGGAGCAAGTACCAGGTTTCCAATGGAGAAAGGTGCAAAGAGCTGTAAATGCAGCAATCATTATAGACCAATGTACTGTTCTGTTTTCATCTAACTGATAATATATGTGGGTTTTTTGGTTTTTTTAGCTAAACTTGATCTGCATTAGAATGCTGCTGTTAAAACCAATTTCATTTCAGAAACTCCTTTATGATAATAGCCGAATATAAATTGCCCTTGCGTTTTTACTCTTCAATCAATGACTTTGAAATTCCACTAACAGGTTTGCATTTGAGCTCTCTGAAGCACATAATGTAACGGATGTAATTAGGACGGAAAAGGGAAGCTCTTAGCTATTAAAGAGGGTTTTCCGTCCTCCAAGAGCCTTTCTGGCCACATATCTAATAGAATAAAAAAATAGTAGTTATACCCAAGGCACTGCCCATGTTCTGTTGGCAAAATCCTGGGGTTTTACATTTTTGTGTGTATGTTTTTGTTTTCGTTTTGTCCTGGCATCTTCATATACTTCCTGATGGATCTGTCTACCTATTTGATATTCTTCCTATAAATTAGGACAATATTTCCGTATTTTTTTCCTAAAGTATGTTCTTATTGTCCTGGGGCTTTGTATGAGCCAGTTTTCTTTAATTTAAATTTCTAATTAGCTATAGAATGTATCACATTAAATAGTATTTATTTGGGCATAATGTTGGAGTGTCTCCCTTGTCTCTTTTTAGGTTTTGTAAACTATGGTAACAGCCTGCCAGTACCTGAACTTACCTCTTTCCTTGCTCATGAATAGATCATACTGTATTAACAGAGGTTTGAAAGTTAACTGGGAAGATATTAGTTGTTTTGTAATAAAAACTTTCTGACATGTTTTATATGAATTCATAAGGAAAAAAACCCAAGTCATTTGCATAAGGTAATGTAATACATAGTGTTTTCAGATGTTGCTAATGTTGTCTGTTTCTAATTCTAAACTGCTTGCACGTTAAGTTCTGCAATAGACCCTCACTCATTTCCTTTAACTTTACTGTATAGATGTAAGAGGCAAAATATTTTGTTCTTAATGTTTATATGTAAGCATGCAAGCAAAAACTGGGTGTTGCAGTGATTGCTTCAAAAGCCAACTTAGCTTTCCATTGTATTTTATCCTAAGGAAGAGGACTATCCAGGAGCTATTCAGCTGTGCTTGGAATGCCAGAAAGCTGCCAGCACTTTCAAACACTACAGTTGTATAAGGTAGGGTGACACTGTGCAGATTTCAGCTTCTGTATGATTTTACTTGTAAATGGTATAAAACAGAGATCATTAATTCTCATTCTCTAAAGCAGCTTTGATTGAAATTTAATTTTCTGCTTAGAAATTGAGGCATTTATAAAAGCATAAGCATGCTCAGTAGTTTCCCCCTCCCTACATAATCTATGTTTGAACTATGTCATTGTTTTGCAACTGTTGTAATATGTTGGCAGGTAAAGTTTCAACTAAGATTGCATTATAACTGTGCTACAACCTGCAGCCTAGAGATACCTGAGCTAATTTTTTAATAAGCGAGTTTATATTCTGGAATTAATTTACCTACAGCAAGACAGCTTGTGGAGGATAACCTACCCTGATTTCTTGGTAATGAAATTGGCAAGTGCAGAGCTGTCATGGAGAAACTGCTTTCAGAAGTGGAACTAATTCAAATATCTGCATTTCCTAGCTTAGAAACACTTGATGTTTCCATTGCTTTTTAGAAAGGAAAAAAAAAAAAAAAGAATTGGGTAAACATTAAGTTCAAAGTCATAATAGATATGACAATAAAGGAGTAAAATGAAGTGAATTTTGGTGTTTCATCCACTAAGATCATTAGATTTTCTATTATTTTTAATTAGACTTTTAAATTTGTGGGTAAAACTCTGACATTGTTTGATCTCCTGTCAGAATGGTCTCTGACTTAGAAGGGTCAAAATCTATGAAAACACATGCTTTGCCTCCCGCTGTGCTCTAAATGTATGCTTTGTTGCAACTTCAGAGTAATTACCTATAATCCTCAATTTCAGTTTAGGATTTGCTTTTGAGGTATAGTTGTTTCAGGATCTGAAGATGCACCAAAAAATGTCTGAAGTTAGAAGTTGTACCTGGAAATAAGCCCCTCTGTATTTTGAAGTCACATTTCAGGCCTGCTTTTTTGCTTTCTTTTTAGTTCCGTAAAACTTGTGTGTGTATATAAATTGACTGTACAGCCAACATTTGCCTACATATATTAAAATTTTGAATCCCTTCCTTATGTAGTGGTAAATGAAAACTATATTTATTTGAATGAGGAAAAATGACTGTGATTTCCCTCAGTCCTGGACAATTCAGTTGTTTAGAAGCAAGATGACTCTGGAACAACTATTGCTGTGCTTGACTCTACCTTCTGTAGAGATGGGTCTTGCAGTCTTCCATACCTGTGTCCCATCTATACTGTTCAGTATGCTGTCCTTAGTATTTATTGCTCTTTCAGATGCTCTGTGGCTCCAACCATTAATCTTATCTCCTGCATTTTTTTCGTCTGGAGAAATCGGCAACATTTATTCAGCTTGAAAAGGCAGCTTGATTTCTTAGAGTCTTACAGTGTTCATCCGGAAAACCTTGCTCTTTCAAGGTTTAGGTTAAATTACACAGTTTCTTTGATGTAAATTCTCTTTTGTGTAAATGATATGAAAGTTTCTGTTTAATGTTGAATCACTTCAAGCTTTTATTGCAGCTTCAAAGTTTATCTCCACTACACTATGTCCAGTATAGCAAAATTTGGAACTTAAACTAACAGTTCATGTTTTTGCCATTTGGAATATTTAACTGCAAAAGTCATACTGTTTTAAATCTGATAGCATACTGACAAGATATGTGACAAATAGCTGTGAGGATTTACTTTGTTGTTGCACTCAAAAGGATATCCTTCCATCCAAGCAGACAGATTCTTGAAAGAAAGGATAATGACAGAAAAAATCAGCACAGCTTCTTTATTCCAAGAGAGTTTTTTGAGCTTGTTTGTTTGCATTGTGGGTGCAGAAGGACATTTTAGCTGCAGATCCCAGTCCTAGTGCGAACATTTCAGTCTCGGTGCACAGTTTTACTTGCTGAAGTCTGAGAGAATATGTATTGTATGGAATAATGCCTCACTAGCAGGGGATTGGGCTGAATGAATAAATAGATCTTTTGTATTTCTGTTAAGGACTGCAGAAAAAACAGCTAGTCAAGAAAACAGACACATGCTAGCACTTAGAGCGTTCTTATATGAGTCATCACCTCTCTATCTTACCATGAAATTTTCACAGTATCCCTTTGATTGTCCACTGTCCACATGACAAAATCAGTGCCTTCCTTTTGTACAATCATTCTTCACATTTTTCTTGCTAGATGGTGGTAGGAATTAGGTGTAGCTCTTAAACAGCAGAGGATTTAAACCTTTCTATGAAGCATATAATTTTTTTATTTTGGCATATACATAATCTGAAGAGGCAAGCACGTCAGCTTCTCTGCTAAGACTTCTTTGGTTTTAAGAGTGGCTGCTCATCCTTTGAAATAATAGGATGGATGTCTATTATTTTTGTTCACCATTGTCTTCTTCCTAGGGAATGCTTGCATTATGTGATTCATTTTTGTTTAAAAATAGAAATCAAAGTCTTTTGCGTTCTGCTTGTTGATCAGTTCTGATGTGAGTACACTCTCTTGAAAAACCTGAGGGAAAATTTAGTGTCAGATAATGGGATGACTCTGTCTATTGCATTTGGGTCGAAATGTTACTTCTGTTATATTGCAGTAATGTGCCTTCTAAAAATGCTCTAATTTAGATTTGTATGGATGGGGATGCAAAAAAAAGACTCCTAATATGTTTTTTATTAATGAAATGAATGCCTTGAATTAAATTCTCAATTATGGTAAATGGGCTTTCATAATAGTCATGTAGCCATTATGTCCAAGCACTACCTTTATAATTCTGGCTTAGAAAATATATACAGATTTAGCTGGACACTGCGTTTCTACATTTTCACTGCAATACTTGATCAAAGTTACTTTTCTTATGAAATTTTGTGATTGCACCTTCTTTTCCTGAATTAGTCAGCATAAATGTAGGCTGTATTCTTGCAAACACATCCATATATCATAGCTTGGTTGAATAAATAAACTATGAATGTGTGTATTTAAAATTGGTGCTTGAGCCCTCGCATGAAGGGGAAGACAATGCTGTCACAGGAGTTGCACTAAATGGTAGGGGTAAGAAACGTGGCAGTTATACCTTGATTGCATTTCCTGTGGAACAAGGTCTTTTTAATTTGTCCCCATCCTGCTCTTCCAGAAGAAGAGAAACGTACACTGTTCTGGAATGGCCCAGATCCTGGGGCATTTGCTGGGAATTGTGACATGAGGGCTCAGGTCCCAGAGCTGCCCAAGCCTCCTGTGTCACCCGGTGATTGCAAGCTGAGGCTTGCCTGGCATTAAGAATAGTGGAAACAAGGAACTAGTTTTCATGTGGATCTATGCTGGTGTACAGATGAAATTAGTCAAATGTGATCGCCTGCAATAATCAAGAAATGGTTTCTGCAACCCAGGAAGTTTTTCAACCCTACATTGCAAATTCTTCATGTGTGTGAGCCAGTTGCCTGGCTGAGGTGAAAAATCCATGTGTATTTTTAATTTAATTAGAAAAGGTAAAGAAATGCTAGATTAGCAGCAGCATGTTCATGACATTGGTTTGAAAGGAATCATAGTCTTATGTTTATATGTTACCTGCTACCATTAGGGGCTTTGTGAATTTTCATAGAACTTAAAGCAGTACAATTGCTTAATTTGTTCAGTCTGTGCAGAGACTACCTGTGCGTTGCATCATTTTTTGCTAATGTCAGCAGCTTCTATATTTTAGACCAGTTAATTTCAACATGTAAGCCAACTATGTGTTTATACACAGGGGATGATAGTCTATGCTGTACCTAGTTCTAAAGATGGAAAGGAGTGATTCTGTGCACAGAGCAAGGTTTTTAGTCTTGTTCTAATGTCTTCTTGCTAGCTAAAAGAACTGGAGTAACAGGAAATGCTCATAAACTCCAGCAGGAGATGTAGTAACATGAAATTGTTATGGAGGCTTTTCTGTTTGAAGGCTTGTTGCATGTGGAGGAACAACAAAGAAATACTGGCTGCTCTATTTAGTGTTTAATGCCAGCTCTTTCTGATGCAGTTTTTTCTATTTAAACCTCTCTTTGGAGGGTGTTGTGTACAGGTTATCTAATAGAACCGAAAAAAGAGGGGTGATGGGCATATCATTTAAGTGGAGAGAACTGGGTAGGGAAGCTAGAATCTATCTTTTGATAGTTAACATGATCTTTTCCCTTAGGAAAAGATTCAGAGCATGGAAGGAAGTTGTCTAAAATCAGTTATGGTGATTATCCCATGAAAACTGCTTTCCATGCTTGAAGAGAATATCCTGCCTATTTCTTGGTTGCTTCAACCCTTCCAAACAAAAAGATAGTGGTCATATTTTGTGTCTTATTTTTCTGGCTGGTGTTCTGAAATTTTTAAAGCTGATTGTTGGAAAGGAGCAGTTGTGCCTTTCTTTGTCCTAAATAGTTTCTCTTATGGTAGCTATTTTTGTTAATCTTTCTATACCAAATATAGCTCAGCAAAGTGAAATGATGGTCTTAAAAAGATTTTCTGAGAGTTGTGTAAGCTTAAGTTCTTTTTTTCCTATAGTGTTTATGTAAGGGGTTCCTGAGCAACAAATAGAAGTTACTATACCATAGTTTGCAAAGACTTGACAGCCCTGACCTTTCTGGGTATGTTCTGCTGTAGACCACACTGCCAAATCAAAACATTTGGAGCATGAGTTCCTTGGGGGTCGGGAATGTCTTTGAATGCTTGGCTAAATCCTAGCAGGATGGGGTCTTGTCTGGGCCCTCTTAACACTGTTGCATTATAAACCTAGGATAATGTGCTGCTGCAACAGATATTTTAATTTGAAGTGTTAGGAATACTGCAAATGCCTGCAGTTAAGTGCCTTTCAGTAATAACAGTAGTGCGGTGATGCTAGTCTGACACAGTAACAGCAGGTTAATAATTTATGATAAATTACTACATTGTGGCTCAGTAGCAGACAAATCTGTTTTTTGGAAATGAGAAACTTGGTGTGAAATGGTAATATGAACAGTAGTTTTATTTTAAACGTTTTTCTTTATTAATAGTGAGTTGAATTCAAAGCTGCAAGACACCTTGGAACAAATAGAGGTAAGAATTAATACATTGATGTTTAGTAAATGTTAGTATTTAACCTCTAGGTACTAGAGCTTCCTAATACAATGTTATTAGCAATTACAGAACATCCACATTTCTTTCAAATACTGTCTTTGGAATGCTATAGTCATTGCTATTCATGTAGACTTTTGTGCTGCAATCAACCTAAATGCTCTATAGTATGTTATCGAACTTATGAGCCCAGCTCACTAGTTGTGCCCACTTTAAGTGGTAAAGCAGTCAAATAAAATAGGCACATAAGATTTGAAGTACTGGAGCAAAGGTATGCTCCCTGTATGAAGATGATGTATGGTGGTTTTCAGTCCTTGAACTGCTGTGAATTCTTAAGACGATTCCTAAATAGTTGTGAAAAGTAAATTAGCAGCATGCCAATAGGTTTGGATAAGCTACACAAAAGATCACAGTTTCAGTGGAAATTTTAAGAGGTCAGCAAACTGGAAACTGCTGGATAGGGCCAGTGCTAAGCCATAGGAAGTAAGACTTGAATAGCTGGGAAAGATGTGACTAAGGTCAGTTTAAATTGATGGATAGTATTGCAAAAGCAAATGAATATAAAATGGTAAGTGTCTTGCTGGAAATTGGTGGCAAAAAAAAGTTCATGAACAATAGGAGTTCTTTTAACTCCTTTACTAGGTAATTTTGAGCTGGAATTTGGCAAGTTTTTGTAAGAAGTCAAGTAATGTAGATATGTATAATGTATGTGTAGTACATGTAATGCCTGTACATGTAATGCATATCAGTAAGCTGAATTAGCTAGCCCAGCAGCTCTCTACGCATCTGTTCATGTGCTCTTTAGTGCATGTATGATCGTACCTCGTTATGCAATTCCCTGTACAATTAGAACTTTGTTAAATTTCCTTCATTTATGTCTTTGTACTTTCACTTTCTTGCAAAGCTTTTTTTTTGTTCTTTTTCACTGATATGTGCTCTATTCAGAGCATGGCTGGTTCACTCTCACATAGGCTAGTCATTAAACTCGTCTCTGTTTGTTTGTTTGGTTTTTTAAGATCACTCAGTTTGCATTCCTATTGCTTTCATTTACTTTCCACTTATTACTTGTGAGGAAACTTTGATGTTGCTTAAAATGAGACATGCATCTTTACTTCTTCCAGTAACAGCTTTGCAGAGCTAATTCTGCTCATACTAAAATCTGGTAAAATGTGCCATGTTCGTTGGTGAAAGCAATTCACAGCTAGCTAAATAATCATATTCAAGATTTTTATTTATTACTTGTGAATTTATAGAAATATCTTATCTTACTCCTGTGAAAGTTATCTTATTTTCTACTGGAATTATGTCTATGCATATTGGAGAAATGTAAGTCATCCTGCAGTTCACAGAGTGTTCCTGTGGAATACATGCTCTAATTAATATAGAATCATATTCTGCTAATTAATATTTCAGTAATGAGTCTTCTCAATAGTTGAGTGCCTCTGCTTATGTCCATTCCTTTTTTTTTCTTTTTTTTTTCCTTGTAATTTAGGTTTTAACATTGATCTTACTTTTATACTATATTACAAATAAAATGCAAGGTGGCTATAGTGGAAGGAACCATTGAAAAACGTGGCTGAAAAGTTTAATGTACTTTGTGTTTAAGAGCTCTGTTCATGAGCAGCTTGATATCCCTGTTTCTCTCTTTGTACAGCTGTTCTGTGTGAAATAAGAGAAGAAATTTTTTTTTAAAATCAATATAAGGCTGAAATTCAAAATGCTGAGTAAACTTTTAAAGAAGTTCTGAATCTTTAGGTTACTTCTCCTTTTACCACTTCGCTTAGGAAAAAAAATGCAGTTTTTGATTGTATCCTACTCTCCTTTTTTTGTGCTTAAAGAAAATATTGATCTGCTTAAAAATACTGACAAAATACATCCCCCACTCCTCCCTCCCCCCCAACAGCAACAAAACCCACCCACCAAATCTCTGGGATTAAAATCTATAAATATTTTGTGGCTAATGAAGTATTTAATGAAAATTTTCCAGTGGAGTAAGTAAAAGTACATAGGGACTAAACAACCATCTCCTGTGGATTCTCTTTGCAAGAGCAAGACTACATCGCAAGATCCTTAAATAATAAAAATTGAAATGGCTTTAGTGACTAGCAAGGAGTGAAAATATCTGCTAGCTGTCTATATTATCATATGTTATTGATTCGTGTTTTCTTTTCTTGCATTGTTGATTGAAAATAACTACAGTTAAGCTGTGTATCTCTGAATATATTACAGTGTCTAAGTGAGAATTGTGTTATTAAGCTACACAGTCAAATTCTTGGAAGCTTTATTAGTTAGTCATTAAGTATATGATCCTATTTTAGGTTTTTTTTTTTCATTCAGTGCACGTAATAGATGAACTTAATTTACTGCAAAGCTGTTCAGTATGCTCAGACACAGCTCTGATGGCAGAACTAATAATTGTGTGTGTATGTGTGTGTGTGGTTTTTTTTTTTTCCTCTCCTATGGTAATGATCATTGTGCTCGTATAGTACTTCATAAATGACTTCACAATGAACTTTTCAGTCAGATAGTGTTAGTTCTGTTTAATAGATGGCAGTCAGAGGGTTAAGAAGTATATAATTGAATTGGTTGGGCTGAAACACCTGTGGAGCATTTTCTTTTTTTTCCCCCAGATCTGGGTTTTTCTTAGGAGTCAGAGTAAAGTTAGAAATCCCAGCTCTCCCATATTGGGGTACTAGACCTTCTCAAAGTAAATATCACTTTGAATTTGATTTCAGCAAAGTAGTGTACTTTTTACTGTGCTTGTTCTTGGAAATGGTAGAACTGTTTGGCTGACAGAAACTTCAGACTGAAGTACTTTAGACTGCAAGAAGTAACATTTGAGCACCTCAGAATAGTCTGCTAATGTACAGTCTTGGCTATTTTACAAGCATAATTATCAGATTATTTAAATAAACATCTTTTCTTCACTTGCTGTTGTTTAATTAATGTATTACTTGGCCTGTTTTTATTTAGCGTTTAACATTTTTTTCCTTCATTTATATAGGAACAATTGGATGTAGCGCTCTCCAAAATATGTAAGAACTTTGATATCAGTCATTATACAAAAGTTCAGCAGGCTTACAGGCTGCTTGGAAAAACACAGGTTCGTACTCATCTTCTGAGTAAGTCACAAAGAACAGTAGTGTAACAGTGTGAAGCTTTGAGTACTGTGATGGAAGTTTATTTTCCTAATTGTCATGGTTTAACTCTAGCCAGCAAATAAGCAGCATGCAGCTGCTTACTCACTCCCCCTGGTTGGGATGGGGAAGAGAATCGGCAGAGTAAAAGTGAGAAAACTCGTGGGTTGAGATAAAGGCAGTTTAATAGGTAAAGCAAAAGCTGCGCACACAAGCAAAACAAGGAATTCATTCACTACTTCCCATCGGCAGGCAGGGGTTCAGCCATCTCCAGGAAGGCAGGGCTCCATCATGTGTAACAGTTACTTGGGAAGACAAACACCATCACTCTGAAGGTCCTCCCCTTCCTTCTTCTTCACCCAGCTTTATATGCTGAACTTTGCCTCAGGCAGGAATAACTCAGTTTTCCCTAGCATGTTTTTTTATGTGCACTACAGGGACTTTATCCCCTTACAGTACATGAAAGTTTTGATTGGTCATAATAATAACAACAACAACAGTACTGCCTCTGACGATGTGATCCGTTTTCATACGGTAGTGAGGCTAAACATGGTGGTGCCAGTGTAGCAATGTTTTGCTTAGAGAAGAGATTCCTCCAGAAAGCTTTAGGTGCTAAAGATCCTATCAAAGTGCCTGTCCCCTGATGAAGACAGGACAGGAACCCTATTCATTCTTTATTATGCTTGGGTTTTTTAATGTTGTTTCCCAGTATTCAGAAGTGTGGCAGACATTAGAATGTGTTTTTTGAGTTTGTTTTTAAATTTTTGCTTGGTTTTTGTTTCTTTCTAATTAGAACCTTTCTAGCAAAGTGGTTTTGTTTTTTTTTTTCCATGGCTTGACTGTGGTAAGAGTGTAGCTCTGCAATAAGATAGAAACGGATTTCTCTTCCCATACTTTGACAATGTGCAGAATTATTGGACTGCCTGAAGACTGCAACTTAAAATCAGGGGAGAAGCTCGATTAAACTTTTCCTTTGTTAGTGCATTGTGTGCAATTGTATGCGATTTATTTATTTACTGGACAAAAGTAGATCTAATGCATTCACTGCTCTGAAGTCTAGTGCATGGTATGTTGAGAAAGGCAGACTTTTTGTTTGAAATATCTCCCATTTTGACCCCTTCTCATTAAACAGAATGACAGGAACCTTCAGTGTCTTCAGTACTTTTCATGATTTCATTTGTCATTCTGTTTTCTTTGACTAATTTAAGTTAGGACTAGCTGCAGAAGATAGGTTATTTGTGATAGGATTGAAGCAGAATTGCTTGTTCATTTCTTATGGGGACGATTGAGTTCTCAGCTCTTGTCAGTAGCAAAGAATGTCAAATAGCAAGTAGCGAAACAGAACACTTTCAAATCTGCAAGATCTGATAACTTCATTCTGGCAAATCAAATAATTTTTTTTATCAATTCTTATGTACCGTATATACTGATTATTAGCATATCTTGAAACAATGAGAAAATTCAGTTTCTGAAATGGACTAATGTTATGTACCAGTCTATTAACAAAGGATCAATGGGATAACTAGGGAAACAGCCTGACCTCAAACTCAGGCGTGATTATAGTAAAACATATGTTATATAGTCATTAGTGTTTACTACATCTACTGAAGTTTGTTTTTCTGGAAAAAGTAAGCTTTGTTAAATGTAATTTTTTTTTTTACTGCAAAGAGGGTTTTCTTACGAAATTTATCGATATGATGTGCATGCCTTTCTGTAACACTTAATCCTACTTTATATTCTTCAAGGAAGAACTGAGTTTGGCAAGCGGATGAATTGAGGACTTTGTAGTTGTTGTTTTAGTTTCGTTAATTGCAAAGGAAATATTTTTATCTTAGTTGGAGGTGTTTCCAGTGGGAAAAACAGCACTGATCTCAACTTGTTTCTCTTTGACACATTCATTCCTTTTCTTTTAGACAGCAATGGACCAGTTACATATGCACTTCACTCAAGCCATTCACAACACTGTGTTTCAAGTAGTCCTTGGATATGTGGAGCTGTGTGCAGGAAACACAGACACCAAGTTTCAGAAGTTACAGTATAAAGACCTCTGTACAGTATGTAATTCTTGCATATACTTATATTTTTTAATCTGAAGTTTTCCACTGTTGTAAGTGTACCTTATGTAAGTAGGGACTTGGTAATTAAAGTAAACCTGCAGCTACTATAGTTTCTTAATACAACTCATAGGCTAATTGAGAGATCTGTTATTCACAACTTAATGCTGATTTTGATTGCACTAAATCTTAGCACTTTGGAGTTAGTATACACACCATCTAAATAAATGTAAGGAAGTAAATCACAGGATACAAACAGGAGACCAACATTTCAAAACTCCCATGTCTTCAGTATAATATGCTAGTTACTGGAATCACTATTAGCTTTGAACTTTATTTTGGTGCATTTAGGCAGTATTCACAATTTCTATAGTACTGCATTTCACTAAGGATTCTTGTAAAGATACTAACAATTGGAGTCTTCCCATTACTCCTAACTTTCTATCAGTTGGATTGCACTTTTGGTATCAAGGCAAGGGACAGCTGTAATATTGAGATGCAAAAGCCTGATGATAGGCAGATCATGGATTGGTAATAACCATGGATTTTCCTCTAGTATAGATTTTAGGTGCAGTTTCTTGCATGTGTATATTTTGTTTTATCTTTTTTAAAATGTTGTTAGAATGAATTACTGTATTTTGAGTAGTATTTTTAGTTTACTCTTTAATTCTTTCTCTTGTGGTTTCACTGTTACACCCTGAGAAATTTTCTTAAACTTCAGTGGTGGGAAGGGAGAGTGTGAGATATTTTAGGTGGTTCTAACATTGATTTGAAATTTGAAATTATGTTTCTATCTCGAACATTATTCAGGACATTTGTTTCAGTCACAGGCTAAGCCCTCATCATACTTCATCAACTCAAGGACCCACCCGATCAGTTGCAATTTAATAAATCAAAGTACAGTCACAAAGAGATTGAAGTTCATGTTCTGATCCATTTTCTGCTCTTTCACTTCTCAAATCTCCTGGGATTGTGCAGCTTCAACTAGTAAACAACACATCTGCATTGAAAACCATTTCATTTTGAAGAGGTGCCCTTTTGACTTAAGAGGCTTATGTAATCTAAAAGGCTTCATATGAGTGAAAGTGGATTATGAAAAATTAATTTATTGGGAGTAATTGACATAAGTATTAATGAACAGAATGAGTAAGGTTCCAGATAGGTGGTATTTGCATTTCACTGAGATGAGTTCTAGTGGAAGAAAGCCATCAAACCCTGATCTCTGTTCTCTGGACTGCAGCCCTTTCATATTTCTGCTTTAAGTCTTCAGAAGGTGGTTTTGTTTTCATTTCTTAGTTTCTAAAGCACTTTTCTTCTGAGTTTTTTTGCTTTATACTTCTGTATGCCCTTCAGTTTATTTCTCATTCTTTGCTGATGTTTATAATACTAAGCCCATTTATTTACACTTAGAAACAGTACTACTGAGTGCCTCCTGACATCTTCTAAAATACAGATTGTGTGCTGCTGTTGATCCTTACCCTTTTGTCATGACCCAGGCTGGACAGACCAGGGAGTCCTGTTAAATTCTGAATTCCCTC